CCCTAAATGTGAATGCAAATTAAATGTTACTGTTCCTTCCGTCTTGAACCTGACCCTAGTCTCTTTGAAGCCATAATAGATATGTGCGTGTGTGCTCTTCTGATTAATTATATTTAATTTCCATATTATTAATCATCAGGGGATCGAGTTGGTTTTAGTGAAGTTGATGCCAACTGGGTTCAGGTTCAGTCCCACCGATGAAGAGCTTATCGGAATTCTTGAAAGGAAAGTTCATGGCCAAGAATTGCCTCTCCATGCCCATTTCATTTCTGAAACAAATGTTTATGGGTTTGATCCACAAGATCTCCTTGTGTGTTTAATTTACCTTATTTATTTCTTCTTTATATTAATTATTTCTATCAGTTTATTATTTCTTCATCATTAATTGGATTCTATATATTGGCTAATCGCTTATCTGTCCTAGTGTTTAGGATTTTCATTTTTATTTCTTGGACTATTATATATTCTGTATCCTTTAACTTTCTCTTTTATTTTTGGCTGATACATTATCTAGAAATCACTAGGTATTTAAAAATTCTTAATCAACATTAAAGACATTAGTTTATTTAAACCTATTAGCATCAGCATTTTCTTTCTATGTGATCTAGCACGTTGTATTCTTTTGCTTAGGATTTAGAATTTTTTCTCTACCAGTATTCATTTTATGTTTTATCTTTGTTTTGTGTTGATTTGTTTATTTGTTGAGCTTTATCTTTATAGGGATCTAGCATGATGGCGATAACAGCGAGAGATATTGCTTCGACTTAGAAACAAATGACTCTCTCGAGAAGTTTGGTCGAGGATGTGGAGAGCTACAGGCCATGGTTAAAAAATTCATATCAATCAACATTTGGGTGGTTGCAAGAGACCTTTATCATTTCACAGGTTTTTAGATAATGATAGAAAGCGTACATGGCGGGGAAAAATCTATGCCCACTTTACATTTCACACTTCTTGCGCGCTCCTTAGCTATCTTCAACCAACATCTTTTTGCCTGTTGCCTTGTCTCTTACATCTTTTGCACCTCCTTCCTAGAGGTGGAAAAAATAGGCCGGGTTAGGCGAGTCAACCCTAACCCGGCCCGTAATGAAGAGAGTTCAACCCGCCAACAACCCCTGGACGGGTCGGGTTGTAAAATGGCAATCCGTCGGCCCACGAGTTGCTATTTTGTCCTCTCTGCAGGAGGACCGCAACCCGGCGGGTTGCAGGCGGGTTGGGTGTGCCAACCCGACGGGTTAGCTGTTGCCAACGGCCAACCCGCCAAGTTAGCCAAAAAAAAAAAAATTAAAAAAAAATGTAAAATTTATTTATTTTTTTAAATTACACTTTTACCCTTGAAATATAGCGGTTTTATAACCGTTGGAGGGGTCTTTTTCGTCATTTTCTTTCCCCCTTTTTTTTTTCTATAAATTGGCCCTAAACTCTCATATTTTTCTCACAACTCAAATTCTCTCATATTCTCTAATCTCTATTCTCTCAATTATTCATTTATTCTCTTAATCTTTTTGTTATCAATTTGCTCTTATTTTAATTTTTATTAGTTTTTGCAATTTTCAATTCATATTTCCAATTTTCCAAATTCCAATTTCTATATTCCAATTCTCTTTCTTTAATTTTTATTTCTTCTACATCAATTTTTTTTTTTCAACTACAATGGATAGATATTTCTCTCCCCTCAATTTCAATGATGAAGAAAACTACTATCTTAGTCCTAGTCCCGCTGATTTTACTATGAATGCAAGAGATTCAAATAGTCTCGCTGTCCCAATCCCAGTCTTAGAATCCGATACACCTCAAAATATGCCGTCGATTCCAACAGCTCCCGGTGGTTCTAGAAGTCGTCCTCGTAATCGTGGTCCTCGTCCAACTTCATCTCAAGCTGAGGCGGGATCATCAACTGTCGTCGAAAGCGAAGACAGACACACATCAGACGTTTGGGCGCATTTCGACAAGTTTTATGAGACAGAAAATGACGTTCAAGTCAAGAAAGCAAGATGCAAATATTGTGCAAATGTTTATAAAGCTGATTCAGGTAATGGTACTAGTACTTTAAAAAGGCATGCTAATAAACATATTAATCAACATGGAAATAGAGAAANTTTTTTTTTTCTTTTTTGAAAACAAAAGATATAAACATGTTTTGGTAGATATGAGCGTAAACATTTTCGAAATTAGTTTCAGATAACAATCCTGAAAATTAGCGTAAAATCAGAGAAAGAAAAATTTTAAATAAAAAGGAATTAAAGAGTGAAGGAAATTTGATGACAAGGCTTTTAGCAGCCAAGAAATTATGGCATTTTAACATTTTTGGAAAGAAAATATTTCAATTACATTAAAATGATAAAGAATCAATGCTTCAGTAATTTCAGGGATACATAGGAAATTATATAAAATAAATTGAATCTAAATAGGAAAGTCATGAAAATACAAGGGACTTAAATGATATTTAACAAGGCTAAAAATTAAATATTAGGAATACGATTTAAACGCTGCTGTAAGAGCAAACAACATGTTCCCACTCGAGGTTTAGCAAATTTTAACTTGATACCCCTAGTTGTATTTATTTCATATTCACACCTTTAATCTAACCTGTGTACTTTATTTTAACTATTGATAGGTAAAAACATCAAAGTAACCCACATCTCTAATTTCTCTCAACTCGCACCCATTGCTGGCGTTGGCACTACCCGTTTTCTATGGATATTGACTGGATTTCTCTCCCAAACTAATGAAAATCATTACCTTAAGCCCAATTCCTTTGCTCCCTAACTTGGTCGACCAATTTCTTGGCTGGATTTGGTCTGTTTGTGTTCGCGTGATTGATTAAGGCAAATGGTCGAACAATTGGTGGGCGTGTGTAGGGGGCAGGTAAGGTGATGTCCGGCGATTGGGAAAATGGCCATGGGGGTTTGTAAAATCAATCTAAATCAAATCAAAATCGAATCAAATCGAAGCTAAAACAACTAAGAAAAACAACCCAAACGTGCGCGACAGGCGATGCTATCGCAGACGCCAATCAGCGAGTTGTAAGGAGGTGGGCTTATGGGGGTTTTGAAGAGGAGGCGCCAGTGATGCCAAGAGTGGTGGCAAGGGGAGTTTCAGCTGTTGGAATCGGCTAGAATTTGGCTGAGAAATGTGAAACCCTAATGTAACGACAGTTGGTGATCGGTGGGAGGAGACAAGTAGGAACCGTGGTGGTTTTGGTTAATGGAGGGTGGGGATGTCGGTGGTGGGGTCGAGGAAGGCCAATGGCGACGAGAATGACCCAAATTGGGCTTGAGTTGTGGATCGTGTGATCGAAAATTCACGAAAAAACAGGCCAAATCGGGCTTGGAAATCGGTCGATTAGGTTAGGGGGCAAAGGAATTGGGCTTAAGGTGATGGTTGATGTCAGTTTGGGTGAGAAATTTGATTGAGATCCACGAAAAACGGGTGACGCCAGCACTAGCAATGGGCGTGAGTTGAGAGAAATTTAAGATGTAGGTTACTTTGACGCTTTTACCCTTCAATAGTTAAAAAAAAGGTAAAGGTCTGCTTGGGAGTTTTATGGTAGAGGTTATGAGAGTAAACCATCGTAGTGGTTTTGAGGGTAAACCATCGTAGTGGTTTTGAGGGGTTTTTAGTAGCGGTTTTTAAAACATCCAACTTGTGCTTGAGAGTTTATTTTCCAACGGTTCTGACAGTTTTTTTAAATGATAAATTTACATAAATGCCCATAAAGTTAAAACACTCTCTCTTTTGCTTAATTAACTTTGATAAATATAGATAATGCCTACATAGTTAAAATTAATAATGAAAGCTTCTTCAAAGTTTTCTTTTTCATGGGTGTGTGTTATGGATCATACAGTTGCATTTGTAGTTCAAAATTCTATACTTCACAGAAAGCCAAAGTTGCAATAAAATTTTAGAATGGAGTACTATGGTACTTTGCAGTTTGTCAAACTTGACTCCATATGGCCAAAAAAGCTGGTTCAACATTGCCCACCTGAACTGTTTTTGGAATGGTAACTGGTAAGATTAAAGGCTGTATTACTCATTCATATCTGTCCGGGTTAACTTCATTCACGCTCAAGAGAGATAGCTCAGTCTCAACCGTCCCAGTGATAAAGGCCATAAGAAGGGGTTTTTCTAGTAATACATTTTGAAAATCATTAGCCTTACAGATCTATGAAAATGCACAATCATAAAATCTTCACGCTTATAATTCACCGCAAACAAGATTAACAAATGAAAATGGCAAACAATCAACAAAGCTTCGTCTATAATACAAACCCAAAATGCTGAAAGTGAGAAGAATCTAATACAATAAACTAATTATATAGAAATAAACAAATAAAAAAGACAAGAAAACGAAACTTACTTTTTTGTGAATTAGCGATTGCAAATAGCAACTCTGGAGGAACTATCAGAAACCAAAATGCCTAATTTTAGGTTGATGCCAACTATCACAAATTAAACGAGTTATGTGCAGCAAATTAAAACCATTCACTTACAAATTAAAATCATTCACTCACTTCTTGTGTAGCAGTAAGAGATTTGTGTGCTAAGAGAAGTCAACAGCAACAAGAGATTTGTGTGTAGCAAAGAAAGTGGAAAGGGGTTTTTTGGGGTAAAATTTTTAAATCAGCCAATAAACCCTTAAAAAATATACTACACTGGTTTTGGAGATTTTTTAAACCAGTCAAATTTTTAAACACCTTAAAATCAGTTTAATTAAAAAACCCCCAAAATTAGGAAAAAAAAAAAACTTTAAGACATCCTTAAGAATAAGTCTATCCTTATAAAGAACTCTACAAAGAAACTTACAAAGTGAAGAAAAAAACAAAGGAAAAACGAAAAAAGAGAAAGAGAGAGAGAGAGAGAAATGATGAAGATGAATGGTAGAGATTAACTTTGTATACCTTATTTGTAGGCTTCTTTGTAAGACTAACATTACTGCATCCTTAAATAAAGTTAAATTAAAAGTGAGAATATGTAATAAATTCAATCATGGCATTAAATTGGGATTTCGCGAGGAACACGTCGTTTGCTCCTAATGGAAAAAAAGAAGAAAAAGAAAATCAAACCAGAAACACCCGACGCTGCCTTCCTCTCAACTCTTCGGCGCCGACAATCGCATTCTCGACCTCCGCCGCCATGGATCAACGCACACAGGTACTGTGTTTGCTCAAATTTTCGCCAAGACTATCATAGTACTATTTAAATTATTTATATTACATTGTTTTTGCTCAAAGAGACTCTTCCATCGGATTGTTCTGATATGGAATTGAAAAACTTGGAATCTGAAACTGTTTTGTCTTGTGGTTGTTACTGGTGGTTGGTGGTAGCGGTGCGGCGGTGGTCCATGGAGCTTTTGGTGTGTGAGGGTTTTTTTATTTTTATTTGAATTTTGAAGACTTAACGGGTCTCTATGTTTTTCAATTAAATTATTAATTTAAAAGCAAGTGTTGACTGTCTTTTACCAACTTTGAGAGTGACTATTTTTAGAAGAAATAAAAAAGAAAAAGAATGGTAATGACATTATTGCTTTCAATTTATTGTGTTGTGTGTTCAATATATAAAATCAATCTTTCATTTTGGGATAATTTGTGGGGTAAATTTAGAATCATTCTTCTATTAAACTCATACTAGCTACTGATCTAAACAAACTTGAAAGTCCTGGATTTGGGCGCTTTTCAGAAAGAGATGATTTTGAGGATGAAATGCTATCTGATGATAATGATAATGATCGCGAAAGCGTGGTATTTATCACTTTGTATTGTTAGGATACCATGCTTTTTGTTTAGTTAATGAAGCTGACAGGAATTTGGTTTATTTTTCTAATGATTTTGTTTTTAGTTTTGGTCTTTAAATATCTATGTATTATATGCGAAAGACTAGTGTAGAATCACCATTCTGAAAAGGACTTTCAATTAGTAAGTGAGATATATTTCTGAAAATGAGAGAGCTACTTTGATGAGCACTGATCTTTCCTTGGTGCTAGTGTGTTGTCAGGTTATGTTGTTTTTGATTTCTTAATTTAGCTATGTAATTGCTTTTAATTTTGTTCTAATGAGATTGGTTGTCATGTTTATTGCTGTTTATTGTTTCTGAAATTTTTGGACCTGCTTTGTTTGAAATAGTGGTTAATAGTGATAATTAGATAGCACTCATCTTATATGTATTTCTGTTTGTCTTTGTTTTACTTAAGATTCAAGTAGGCATTGTGTGTGAGTTTGTTTAGTTGATATTCTAAGGCTTTTTTTGTTGCAAAAAATCCAAGTGTGCCAATTTTTCGAACACTTGGCTGCACTTGGTGTGCGGAAGCTAACCCAAGATCCCAAGCATGAAACAATAATGTCCTATCACAAGATTACGAACAGTTGACAACATAGAAAGGTAAAGAACACAACAAGCACACAAAATCAACACAATGATATACACGGTTCGGCTAAATGGTCTACATCCACAAGTGATGATGATGGTTTCACTATATGAAGAAGAACAAGTGTTACAGCACTTTCCCATACTCTTCACAATAGCTAAGTATACAGGTTTCACCCAATCCCAAGCCAAATTCAATCCTAGTGAATTATCAATCCAAGAGCACAAACACTAGTCTCTCCCTCTCAAGACTCTTTACACTTTTCTGTTAAGACTTAGCTAAAACACAAAGGAACAAAGCTTATATACAAATGAAACCAAGGACAAATACAATTTTGCCCTTAATTAGAAATTGGCTAGTTTGAGCCGATATACAACAATTTGGCATGCCAGATAGTGGGTAGACAAGTTGACTAAATTGGTTACCTCTATCAAGTTCAAACATCGTTTGGACTTGATTACCATCCTACATTTGGCTTGAGCTCCCTTGGGGCGTGGTGTGATTAGGGGTGTTAACTGAGCCAAGTCGCTCATGAGCGGCTTAGGCTTGGCTCGGCTCAGCTACAGTGTCGGGCTGAGTTTGAGCTCGCCATAACTTGGCTCAAAATGCTAGAGCTCGAGCTCGAGCTTGAATTTCCAAGCTCGCCAAGCTCGAGCTCGACATAGTAGCAAACGAGCCGAGCTCAATTAGCCCAAAGCTCAGCTTGGCTCGGCTCGTTTACACCCCTAGGTGTAATGGTGTTTTGGTTGAAAACAAGATAGTTCCTTAAGTTCTCGCCAAGGTGGAGAATTGTTGTATATTGACTCAAACTTGGCTAATTTTTCATGAAGGGAAAAACTATCTTTGTCTCTTGTCTTATTTTTATATAAGCTTTATCTCTTTATTTTGGCTAAGTCTTTAGAGTAAAGTCTTTAGGGACAAAGTGTAGTGAGGTTTGGATTTTTGCTCTTGGTTAGATGACTCTCTAGTATTGAATTTGGCTTGAGAGTGGGTGAAAACTTGTGTACTTGGCTATTGGGAGGAGTGTGGGAGAGTGTTGTAACACTTGTTCTTCTTCATATAGTGAAACCATCATCATCCCCCATAGATGTAGGCCATTTGGCCAAACCACATATATCATTGTGTTGTTTATGTGTGCTTGTTGTGCTTGTTACTCTTCTATATTGTCATTTTTTGTAATCTTGGGTAGGACATAATTGTTTCATGCTTGATTAGCTTCTGCACACCAAGTAGGACATTATAAATTTTTTGACATATTGGTTGTCAGTGCATTTGGTGCTCATAACTCTTTTGATAACTTGGCTTTTGGTTTTAGCAGTCAACTTTGCATTGTAATTTCAGTGACTGCCAATTTTTATTATTTGATTTCTATCAGCTTCAGATTTTGTTAATAGTATTGATGATCTCTTTCTGATTCATTGCAGAGAGTTTAAATGACTTAAAGCAACTTAGTGTCCATAATAATACAAATGATCCAGACAAAATGGATTTGATGGAAGGAGAGGAAAATGTGAAATATACTTTTTCATCTCATATGGTTCACTTATTCACACATGAGGTCATTTTCAATCTCACTCTTTTTCTATTCTATTTCTGATTGGATAGGATATGAACCTTTGATGTTGATGTAAAGTGATGATGTTTTTATTGCAGAAGCATAAAACCAAGAAGGAAGTCAAGGTGTTGATACATTTTTATATTAGGAATATCGGCTTGCAAAGTTTCTGCTTTCATTTCTTGACTTTTCAGAGGATCTTTAATTGATTATTTCTCATTTTTTTTTCTTAATAGGCACAAAAAGCAAAACATAAGGAAGAAATTGAACAGTTGATGGAAAAGTGGATAAAAATTTCTCTTCTTTAGTGCAAACTCAGGTTTTATTGACATTGACTGAATCTAGCTAGAAGAATTCCTTGAAGGCTCTTGTCAGCAAGGATATTCCTAATGGACATGTCAAATTAGATGGTGAAAAAATGGACACTTTTTAGCAGGTATACTTTTATATGGTTCAAGTTTTGGAAGGTATAATCCTGTGTTACTGGTTCCAAAATTGGCTGTTGTGATGGCTTTCTTATTCATGTCAAATCTGGTTGGTATTTCTGTATAAATATCCTCCTTGGCATGTGTATACTTTTCTGATTGTTGAACTACTATATTAAGATTTTTATGTATATATTCTGACATTGTTAAGAAAATGAAGGCTTTTATACCTTTTTTGCCTAGACACTATATCTGTCTTTCATTCATGATATGAAGCTGTGGTTTAGGTGTTGATATCTGTTTTCTATTATTGGCAGGACAAACCTGATTCTTATGACAAACTTGTCGGAGAGCACTGGAGATGCATGCACAAACTTCAGACAAGACGAAGACAGATGAAGAAATTTTCCAAGAGGATAGAGAACAACTAGAGCGATTGGAGGTATGTTATGTTGCTCTCAAGTATATGTGCTGGTTGCTGTGATTGAAACTCTTCAATGATTTGTCAACATTTATGAAGGATTGAGTTCCTTTCCTGAAATCTTCTCACCGATTGATACACTGTGAAATACACTGTGAAATGAAGTGGCTCAAGTAGGTATCATGCTATCTACATTGTGAGAAAAATTTAAAGATGTTCCTCCACTTACTGACAAAAAGGTTGATGAACAAAACATGTTGTGGTGACCACGGCAAATGCAGAAGAAGCCTGTGCCCATCAAATTAGTGAATCCCAAATTTGTGGAGAAGTAGTTCAATCTTTCTCAACTCATTCTATCTCTTAATATCTTAAAATTCATTTTGTTGGACTTTCGCTTCTAGAGTCGGCTCGGGGTTTTAATCATCTAATGTCTACATTGTTATGCAGCTTTGTCAAGGGTAGAGATTATGATGTTAAAGCGGTTATTTCTTTTCTCAGGTAAAGGAAACAGAGAAGATAAAGTTGGACGAAGAAGGAACAGAGAAATATGGGTAGGCAAGAGCTTTTCTCCAAGAACAATTGGGAACAGGCAGGAACAGAAGTAAATGAAGGTATAATCTGTTGTTTGTGTTGCTGTACACTCCTCTTAATTTACTCGCTTTGAAATCCTTTCATACTTTTCCCCTCGCTATCTCACCCACATAGAGCTCTTTTTCATTGGGACTGTCACACAAAAAGTAGAGTATTTGAGATTACCTGTATAGAAAATGAGGTTGTTGCTTTGTTGTATTTTATTCTTTTTTGCAGTGACTTGGAGTCGTATAAAGTTAGTAATTATTGTATTTAAAAAACTGATTTCTTGCTGTGGAAATGTTTTTGAGTTGCTAGACCAGAATTAACATACTACTGGGCGATGATGGCTTCTGAGTTCACAAAACTTAAATATTGATGTTGATTCATTACCAAATAGCCTCAGTATTTTGTTGAGTGAATTTGGAAGTAATTAACTATGAATGAATAAAATATGATGTTAAAGAAATGTAGATTTTATTTTGATACCTCTCTATACAGAACTTATATAGGAGATAGAGGTAAACACGAAAAACTTCAGAAGAGGAGCAATCAACTAGCTGTAAATTTTTACTATCTTGCTGCTGCAATCCCATTTCCGTGTTCCAGAAAACATTGCTCATGCATTTCTTTATTTGCCATGCAGTGGACAGCCAAAGAGACAAGATGACAAGGTTGGAGTCTTCAGTTTTTGACTCTTTTAAACCTGGCTTTGAACTCGGATTGGCGCGCTTGATAGCAATAGTCAATCGAACCATTTTCTATGGGAAGTAACCAGGTCATTGAACGGCCTTTTCCAGTGCAGTGTAAGCCTGAACCTTATAGCTGTAGTTTATTTTAGCGAGAGATGCTGTGTCCTGTTCATCAGAAATTAGATAAATGTCATCTCCTAAGTAGGCACGAGAAACATTCGAAACAGAATCAAGTGCAAGAGAGATATTGCCCCCTCCTATGTTCACCCACTACATTGTCTCTTAGGATGCCGGATGAGAGGAACTGGAACAATTTCGATCTCGTCATAACGCATTGGCACCTGGAACTGAAACAGGAAGATTGAAAGAAAATTTGAGGACAAAGAATGCCTGCATGAACCCCAAACTGAAACAATTTTTACTTCCTTGAACTCAAAACTATTCGTCATTTTGAGAATGCTATAGAACAATTTAGATTGGAAGTAACCTGGTCCACTCAAAATGGGCTGTAATTGAAATGGCAAATGGGCTTGTGAAGTAATCAAGGTTTTAAAACCTGACTTGGCTCGACTGGTTGGATTGGTCCAATTGGGATCTAGTCACTTTGTTGGGTTTAGTCTCGTTGGTATTTAAAACATTTGGATGTACAATTCACTTTATGTACAATTAAAATGTACGCTTGTGAAGTAACTCACTTTATCCTCAAATAAAGTTACTAAATATACACTTAATTTATTCTTCTTTATAATACACTTAATTTAGTCTTCTCTATAAACACTAATTTGTATACAAATTCCAATTTTGTAATTTTTTTTTTCTCAATTTTCTTTTTAATTTAAGTCGTATCATTGACTTTTATTCATCTATCACCAAAAGTATATCTTTTTTTCTAAACATATTTCCAATAGACATTTTCATAGGGATACAATTGCTTCTTCTAATGTGGGATAAATTATTAGTGAAGATTTTATTTTTTAATTTTCTAGGTTATTTTTAATTCTCAAATTGACTAACTAAAATTGCGCCTCCAGAAAAGGGGGAAAAAAAAAAAATTTGAGGCAAATTGCATGAGAAGATATTATATAATAGTTGGGTTTTTTAAAGAAAAAAAAAATAAAATAAAGTTCACATTCATGAAAATATTATAAAAGTTATTTTATTTTATTTATAGTTCTTTTGCCTTAAAAAGAAATTTCATGTTCTTGAATATTTGTCGTTACTATAAGGTTTTGGATTGCCAATATCCCAAATAGATGGTATAAGTGTTAATTGCATTGGTAACTTAAAATCCAAACATAAAATATGAACTTTAATTTTTATTGAATCATATTTTGTTTTTTTCCATCGTTAAAAAGACTAAAGTCTTATACAAAATAATTAATTTTTAGTTAGCAAATACCAAGATCAGATTTTTTTTTCAGTTATTCATATATGAATTAACTTTTGTTAACGAGAATATTTTCATATGCATTAATGAATTAACATGTCGAATGTGGTTTTTTTCTTATAAAAAATAAAATAAAATAAAATAAAAAATAAAATAAAATTCATCAACATGTAAAAATGAGTCCATTTTATATATCTAAAATGATCTTAGTGCACATTACTTAATGTGCATATATCTCCATTTTTAAATTATATATATTTTTTAATAATGTTATAATAGAAATAGAAGGAATAAAATAAATATGAAAGAGTCATAAAACATTAATTTCATGGAAGGTAGATTAAAGTTAGATGTCATAAATATATAATTATTTATTAAGTCATATGTCGTTATAATTAGTTGATCAGTACTGTTAAAAAGTCTTAAATATATTGAGTACAACATTTTTTAATTATGTTCTTCACTATAAATATTTAAAATTATGTCATATTTACATATCAATTTTATACTTGAAGATTTATGATTGTGGGGAGGGATCTTCTTGGCTGCAAATTCATTCAAATTTATGAGCAACAACTTGAATTTTCCTTTTTGGTTCTTTAATTGATTTTTTTACCTTTAATTCTTAGAGAACCATAAAAATATATATATTTAAATATAAAATTTACCATATAAATATCAAATTACAAGTAGGATATTGAATAATGATATATCTAGAGGCAACTTTTGTATTTAAATAGAAACTCACTTTGACTTTATTAGAATATATTAAAAAAAAAAAAACTCAAATTATTGAAAATTTATCTCTTCTTCTCTAGCATTCATTTTCTAATACACAAAACCCAAAAAAAAAAAAAAAAAAAAAAAAAAAAAAAAAAAAAAAAAAAAAAAAGAAAAGGAAGAAAAGGCAGCTTTCAAATTCAATTGTAAATTGAATTTTTTTTTTTTTTTATATATATATAGCATTTAATAATGTTCTTTTAATTTTCTGGTTTTAAGTATTAATAATTTTCTTTTTCTGATTTTAAGAAATGAATTGATAAATTGAAGAAACAACTCGAATGATTTCCCATTTGGTTTATTAATTGAAATTGGAAAATAGTTTTCAAATATCCCCCAAAAAATTAATAAAATAATATTAAACATATTTTTATACTTTTAAGGGAGGATTTAATTTCTCTCAGATATTTTCTCTTAACATATAAAAAATTGAATTATTAATATATACACTCAAACCCAAAAGTAACCATCCCCACTCCTCTTAATCTATATTAATTTCTCTTTTACATATGTAAAGCAATTCTTGTGGAATCATACGTTTTAAATATATATTCTTTTTATTCCCATTTAGGATTTCTTTAATAAAATAATAATTATTTAGGTTTATTTCTTTCAACCCTTTGAGAGATAGCTAAGTCTCAAGCGCTACATTGATTTTAAAAAAGTGTAAAAAACTTTAAGGTTTTTTTAATATATATACATATTTGTAAAGGTTTTTATTTTTAGTTTTTTTTTTATGCAATAATACTAAACATATAAAATTAGGATCCCAACTTTGTATCCCAAGTGATGTGACTGTTTATGTGTCAATACTACCTTGATTATATGATAATGAGATAAGTGAATAACTCTCTTGCATTCAATCTAGTCTTGACACGTAAATTGTCACGTTATTTGGGATACAAAGTTAAGGATCCTTCCTTTGTTTATGAAGCATTACTGTTTTTTTTTATATTTCTAGGGTTTTTATGATATTTTTAAGGGATTTTTGGTTGGAAGGATATCTAATACTTTCGGAAAATTGCCAAATGCTATTAAGACTTCGCTATTTCTTAGTAGGGCAAATGATATTAATCCTTATTATTTTTTGATGTCTCATAAAAGATTTTAGAGGATATTTTTAGAGAATAAAAGGTTAAATAAGTGGAATCCCCCAAATATTTGTTCAGTCAAAGTTACAATAATAACTAAGGATCTATGAGCCACAATCGAATGACGATGACCAATTGAATATTTGCCGTTGGTATTAGTAAAAAATTAATTGAGAACAAGAAACTCTAGTTTTGCGATAACCGACAATCGATAAGAAATCAAGTGCTTGTTGTATCTTATATTGATGATAATTGAAGAAAAAAGAAATTCCGTCAGAAAAAAAAAAAAAAAAATCTTTATGGCTCCTCGATGGATTGTTTGTTTAGTTTATTTTTATATCTAAGGATTTTGAGACAATATGAAATGTGGGATCCTATCATTACACCCCTCTTCAAGAGCCAACGTCTACAACGACTTTCACTCTATCGACATTGACCCGATGATAGCCCTTTCCCCATTTGGGTGATTTCACTCACCTATCAGTTATTCGATGCAACACCCCCTCCCAAGGAGAGCGCACTGCACCGTAATCTAGCCTATAGATAGCCCTTTCCGCGGCCCAATTCTCAACGAAAGCACCAATGTTAGAACTCAAGAGCTCAACTCAAAAGATTGACCTGATAGGTGGGAGAGTCTCTAGGCTTAGGGACCACATTTGGTGGGTGTGAGATCCCGATGTGGGATCCTATCAATGTCGGAGTGAAAGGAGTTTTGTAGAGAGGAGACCAGAGGTTTAAATGATAGTGACAAAGAGAATTTTTGCCCTTGGAATCGTCTGGAATCGGCACTGGGTAGTAACGAAATATTAAATTTGAATGAAAAAGTGGTATTTTAAAACTTGTTGGGTGGGAAAGTATCATTAAGGCAAACCTTGGGTGGGAAAAAGTCGTTAACTCATAATTAAATGTCAAATTACAAACTTTTTTGATGTAAAGCAAGTTTAAATTTTATGGGCGAGGATATTGATAAGTCCAGGTTTTTCGAAAATGATTAAAAACGCCTTTAAATTATCAAAAAAAAAAAAAAAAACACTATTCTATATATAAAGGTAATAAAAACACTCCAACGGGAGTATTCAATAATTTTGAAAAATTGCTGAAACGTCTGAATCAATCTCTCAATGGGGTAGACAAATTAGAAGTCATATATAAATTAACATTATATTATTTATAAGACTGAAAACTTAAAATGAGGCTTTAAGTTCAAATTATTATATTAAGGATGTATTTAAGAGAATTTCTAATAAATACAAATAATTTTTATATTTTTTTTCTTTTCTACGATGAATCACTAATTAAAGAAAGATTTATAGATTTATTAAATTTATGAAATTTTTTTTTTCCAAAAATTAATAGTAAAAAAAATTACCTTACAAGTGTTTATTTTAACAAATTACAACTTGGAGGATCTAGAAAAGAATTATGATCAACTTGTTGTAAAAGCAGTTTGGTTGGAAAGCAAAAGCAAAATAATAGAAGCTGAGGAAGCTGGATACGTAACATATAATTAATAATGTCAAAAGCACTTTGAGATTGAGAAGCTAATTAAAGCTTCTTAAATAATAATCATAATTATTTAAGCAGCTGGCACTAATTAATTAAGGTAAAGTGATTGTGAACAGAAGAACTAAGAGTATTTAATTAAGAGTGACTAGAAGCTTATGTTACTTAATTGAGAAAGTGTTACTGTAATTAATCAATTTTAAAATAGGAGGAATACCGCAAAAATCCCTTCTTTTAATCCACTTTTTAATAAATAAATAAAAATTATACTTTAAAATTGTTTATGTATATAAATTAAGAGTAAACGACTTTTTTTCACCCAAGGTTTACCTTAATGACACTTTTTTATTCAAAAGTTTAAAATACCACTTTCTCACCTAAAGTTAATATTTTATTACTATCCAAAACTGAATCTAGTGGTAAAAATTCTCTCTGTCACCACCATTTGAACCTTCTGCATCCTCTCTACAAAGCCCCTCTCACTCTAATACCTGATTTCTCGTCGATTGCTGGTCCTTGCAAAGCTAGGATTTCTTATTTTTAACTGATTTCCGACTGATTCTAACAGCAAATATTCAATCAGTCACCACCATTCGATCCATCAGCCTCCACTCTATGAAACCCCTTTTACCTTAACTCATGGTAACTCACCGAACACTGCTTGAGAAAGTAAAGTATATTTTGGGTATTAACAGAATATAAACTTTAGGTGAGAAAGTGATATTTTGAAACTTTTTGGTGGAAAAGTGTCATTAAGGCAAACCTTAGGTGGGAAAAAGTCATTTACTCTTTAATTATTAGTAAAATGTGATTTAATATTATATACGGAATCGGATTGTAAGATATTTTCTATAAACAAATACAACGTTGCATGTAAGGTGTCCAAAATCTAGAAAGATGTCACATCGTGCGTATTTTACGTGTGAAAATTAAACTATTTCGATGAGATAGAGTTTAATGAAATGTCACATTAATGAATTTATAATAAGAGTAGCTAAAG